ATGGAAGAATTAAATAGGGGAAGAAAAAAAAAAGGCAGAGAGGGGTGTGGTGTGTGCATGGACCAGCTCTCTCTGCTTCAGTTTCCCATTGGGGCAAATACTGGTACAGATATATTGTTTGACAAAACCGTGTCACCTGGGGGACAGAGGAAGGTGAGAAAGGTTATGGGTCATTGATGTGTCCACTTAGCCACACCTCTTTCAATGTACCTTCACTGACCAGAGGCATGTCAGGAAGGGCAGGACACATGAAACGGTGCCCCTGAACGCCCATCCACACTTATGCCCATCACTGGCTGTTCACGCCTTTTTTTTTTTTTTTTTTAAATAATAATTCTTTATTGTTGACCACGCTTCCTTTTCACATTGGGATCCTCAGATATGGACTGGACTGTGCACTGACCTCAGAGACAGGGGGCTATGGAGGGAAGGAGTCGCAGCTCTGAGCTGTCCTCTGAGGGCCAGGCCCATCCACTCAAGGGTTTCAGGGGGGGGGGGGGGGGGGGGGGAGTCTGTAAAGAGCTCCCAGCAAGTCAGCTACAGCTGTGGGTCTCACCCAGGGTGGTCCTGCCCTCAGGGGACCCCAGGAAACGTCTGGGGACAGCTATGTTTGTCACACTGCGGGTGCTCCTGGCATTGAGTGGGTAGGGACCAGGGATGCTGCTCAATACCCTACCGTGCCCAGGATGGCCCCGCAGAGTGCCCACCCCAAATGTCTTACTTGGGACTCAGCGCAGGAGTGACCTTGTCTTTCCCAGAATCCAGTTTCTGAAGCCAGATTCCCCTTTTCTGCTTAAACTATCTGAACTTCGTAATTCCAGGAAATCAGAAACAGAGCTCACCAGCTGGGGCACGTCTGGAACTTCCCAGAGTAAAAACCCAACTTCCTAGACGCTGCTGGGGATTTTGTTAAACCTCCATTTTATGAGGCTCTGGAGATGTGAGAACAACTCTCAAAAGGTAATTAATGGCTGACTTTCCCATGAACGTAAGAGCTCAGCCGCGGAGCAAGAGCATTTCCACAGAAGAAACAGCCTGGCTGAAACTTGTCAGAATATGAATTGTCTAAAAAGTTCAGGAACTCAACTAGCACTTCCACGAATCCCCTGAGGCACTAAAACGCAGCTTTTGCTGAGAGAGAGAGAGAGAGAGAGAACTTACAGATGATCAGTTACTTGAGAGGCCTGGGACACGGAGAACGTTGAGCTCTGCTGTGTAGGAGATGCAAAGATGATAAAGACACACTCTCTCCTTTAGGGAGGTTCCAATAAAAAGTACGTTATCAGCCATGAAAGACATGAGGAACTGTAACTGCCCATGACTAAGAGAAAGAATACAGTCTGAGAAGGTGACATTCTGGAAAAGGCAGAACTACACAGACATTAAAAGGTCTAGGGTGCCAGGGGTTGGGGGAGGGAGGGATGAATAAGGGGGGCATAGAGGATTTTTAAGGCAGTGCCACTACTCTAACACTGTCATGGTGGACACATGTCACTATACATTTGTCCCAACCCATAGAATGTACAACACAAAGAGTGAATGAACTCCTATGTCACCATGGACTGGGAGTACTAGTGGTGTGTCAGTGTAGGTTCATCCTCGTAACAACTACCCTTCTCTGGTCAGGAAGGCTGACAGTGGGAGAGGCTGTGCATATGTGGGGGTACAGGGTAATGGGAAATCTCTGTGCCTTCTGCTCAGTTATGCCATGAGTCCAAAACTGCTCTAGAAGTCTATTAAGCCTTAGCCCACTGGTTCTCAACCTTCTGGCCCTTTCAATACAGTTCCTCATGTTGTGACCCAACCATAAAATTATTTTCGTTGCTACTTCATAACTGTAATGTTGCTACTGTTATGAATCGTAATGTAAATATCTGATATGCAGGATGGTCTTAGGTGACCCCTGTGAAAGGGTCGTTCGACCGCCAAAGGGGTCGTGACCCACAGGTTGAGAACCGCTTGCCTTAGCCGGTTTGGCTCAGCGGTTAGAGTATCAGTCCTCGGGGTCTCCGGTTCAATTCCGGTCAAGGGCACGTACCTCGGTTTGCAGGCTCAATCCCCGGCCCCAGTTGGGGTGCATGAGGGAGGCAACCAATCAATGTGTCTCTCTCATATTGATGTTTCTCTCTCTTTGTCTCTCCCCCTTCCTTCCACTCTCTCTTAAAAAAAATCAATGGGAAAAAAATATCCTTGGGTGAGGATTGACAAAATAAATAAATAAATAGATAAATAAATAAGTCTATTAGAAAAATTATAGCTAACACTAATTCACCAATTAAAAAACACCAATCGCCCTGACTGGTTTGGCCTAGTGGATAGAGCTTCGGCTGTGCAATGGAAGGTCCCGGGTTCAATTCCAGTCAAGGGCATGTGCCTTGGTTGTGGGCACATCCCCAGTGGGAGGTGTGCAGGAGGCAGCTGATCGATGATGTTTCTTTCTCATCGATGTTTCTAACTCTCTGTCCCTCTCCCTTCCTCTCTGTAAAAAATCAATAAAATATAAAAAATAAAATAAAAAATAAAAAATAAAAAACACCAAGCATTTGGCTAAGTCCTTTAAGTAGCTCACCCCTATGAAGAAGTTACTAAAGCCACAAACAGGAAGCAAAAAACCACAAAGCCTAGGAAAGCCAGAGTTGAACATATATTTGCAGAAAGAATAAACACCATGGAAGGCACTAGAAATATAATGTACACCTGTGGTTAATTTCAAAATTTTCAGTAGCTACATTGAAAAGTAAGAAAATGAAAAGAAACAGGTAAAATCAACAGTCATAATATATTCTATTTAACACAAGGGCAACAAAATATCATTTCAACACCTAAGGAATACAGAAAATATTAAGGAGATTTTCTGCCTTTTAAAAACATAGGAGCCTCTGTGATCTGGTGTTCATTTTGCACATATAGCAGGTCCTAATTTAATCCAGCCATGTTTGGAGGGCTCACTAGCTGCCCATGGTCGCTGCCCTGGACAGAGGGTTTTTTTGTTCATCATCACCCTAGGATATTTTTTCCATCGATTTCTGGAGAAAGTGGAGAGAGAAAATACATCCATTACCTGTCTCCCCCACACGCCCCGATCAACCTGGGGATCGAACCTGTAACCCAGGTATGTGCCCTTGACTGGGAATTGAACCCTCCACCCTTTGGTGCTCAGCCAACGCTCTAACCACTGAACCCACAGGCCAGGGCTCCAGAGGGTTTTAAAAGAAGGGAAAATCCAGTTGTCAGAAGAAAGAAGCAACGGGACAGGTGCTGTCTAAGGTGGGTGTCCAGGGAGGAAAAACACAGCTATCAGAGCAGGATCTGGGGTGAGGAAACGGGTGCCTTTTGGGAGGGAAGCGGGAAGCAGGGGGCCCTGGGGCCAGGGCAGCCAGGACTCGCACTTGCTGTGTTCTCACTCCATACTCAGTCTCGGGTTCGACTGACCAGTTGATGTGTCTCTCTCACATCGATGTTTCTATCTCTCTCTTTCTCTCTCCCTCCCTTCCACTCTCTCTAAAAATCAATGGAAAAAATATCCTCAGATGAGGATTAACAGAAAAAAAAAAAAAGGCCACTCATTTTTTAAGATGTCAAAGGGCAGAGACCAGGGGCTCAGGGCTTTGGGGAATCGGCAGCCCCTGGCGTCACTGAGCACTGCGTCTGTAAAATGGGCTTATAAGCACCCCCTCTTGTATTGGGTGAGGGAAGGAGGAGAAAGCAGCTGCCCAGAGGCCACGTGTAACACCAGCAAGTCCAAAACCAGGTAGCGCAGGCAGGCCCTGGGCTGTGAAATATGCAACAATGCATGCACATCATACTCCAAATTCACCTGCGTGCTTTAAATATGTGCAGTGCATGGATACCCATTACCCCTCACGTGACCAGAAGAATCTCACCCTAAGATTAACACGGGCTCTCTGGGTGGTAGGTCACCCATGATTTATTTTCTGCTTTGTGACTTTCTGTATTTTCCAACCACGCCCCTCTTCCCCTTTCAGTGCCATCTTACAGAATACGTGGTCCTTTCCAACAAATGCCGGCCCACCAGCCAGTGCAGGGACGCAACTGCGAAGTCCCCGCAATGGGCAGTGCGGGCACGCCAACACCCCGCGCCCAGCCTTTGCCCAGCGCTCAGGGACTCGGGACCAGGAAGCAAGAAGCTCGGGTCCCGAAAAGCCGACTCCCCGTGGGGTAGGAGCCCTGAAATCCTGCGCAATTGCCCCAAACCAGTGGCGGGGGCCTAGCGATAGTAAGTGGCACGGCTCGGGGTTGATCCCTAAGTGACAGTTGCAGCCACGATTTCGACGGAGAGACCACGACTACTCCCTCCCGCCGCCCGCGTTTGCGGCTCCTGAGGGGCCAGGACTCCCGCCGCCCGCGCTCCCCACC